AGTAGTGCAAAATCAGAATTTCTCTCCCAGAATGCATTGCATACATGCTCAGTAAATATGCTCAGTAGTGCAAAATCAGAATTTCTCTCCCAGAATGCATTGCATACATGCTCAGTAAATATGCTCAGTAGTGCAAAATCTGAAATTGGTTTGAATTCCCTATATAAAATTGTTACCATTACAAAAAAATCAATCAGTAGAACATATTAAGTGCCTGAATAACAAACATGGTTCAATCAATATGAACCACTCATCATAAAAATACTGCAAGCAATGCATTACTGCTTTTATTGTTGACTATTCAAGAAATTTTAAGGACATTTTAATCATTCAAAACTTCAGCAACAGAACTTCTCAGTCAAGAAAAGCATATTAGACAGTTCCCTACAGCTTGTATATTATATAATTCTATATTTTTGAACGGAGCAGCCAATCCTTATTGAAAGAAAACAGTTATGTGAGAAAGATAAGCTAAAAATTTACATCAAGATTATGCAGTTCCAAGCGACAGCTAAAAAGCTCAGGTTTCTCAGCATTGATTTGGAAATAACATATTTTTTCTCTTAATAAAAATGCGTCTTCATGTATTCTATATTCCACGAACACTGTGAGTGCAATACAGTCCCGTGTGCGTACGTGGCAACGTCTGGGGTTTCAACAATCAAACTGACGACTAGTGCTGCATTGCAAATCACAAACTTATCTGTGTTAAAAAGCTTGTGTGAAATAACGGACACATATAACCGCAACCTGAGTCTTATCTCAGCGATTCATGTACAACATTATCTTGCAAGTCACTGGAGAATTACTGCAATAGGTCTACTCAATAGCCATAAATACTTGACATGCGAGGATTTTCTGCTCGGAATTTTGGTACAAATTGTCCTCAGGCCATTATCTCTATAGCAACCAGTATTTTTGTCACCTGAACTTGATTTGGAGTTCACATATTGAGATTCAACATTTTTGTGCAAACTAATTTGAGAGAACATGCATTGGTACTGAACGCAGATTGTCTTGAAAACAGACACTTGTGGATCATGAAGGTAAATGAGCAATCGTGTTAGATAAAAAAAAATCTTACAAGATTTTAAGCTATTATGGCTTAATTAATTTCACTGCAAATTAAAATATTTTTTCTGTTCATATTTTGTAATTTTAACAAAATTTAACAGTTTGTGCAGACAATGCAGTGATCTTACAGATTTGGATTGAAATGTTAAGAAAAAAAGAAAGAAAAGGTATAATTTTCAAGAAACAATCAATCCATATCTAAATGATGTAAGTAAAAAAAAAATCAAACCATTATACAGTCCAAAACTGTCACAAGTTTGCAACATTCAGAAGCAAACAAATTTTAAATAATATATAAAGTAATAATCACTTACTGAGAGTATACAGGAGTAAAGCTATCAATTAAATAAGTGATATTGGTTTGAATCTTGGTTAGATTGGTCTCACTTTAAAGCTGTCCTGCAAAACAGCATCTACAGCGATATGCATACGATGACGATGATGATAATTTTGAAAAGATAACCCAGTGCTTAACAACAATCAAAGGCAGGTAAGAACCGGTCTGCAGACATCCTCACTTCTACATGGAATCAAATATACTGGAAAATCTGTCTCTGTTTTCAATCCCCCTAGACAATTATTTTTAATCAATGAAGCTCCCTAGGTTTGCTGCAAATGATGCCAAGAAGCTGCAGGGGTGTGTTAAAAGATTGAGCCCGTGAAAGGAGGTGTGCCCATCAACTACGGTTTCACCCCTACGGTTTTATTTAAAACTGTAATGGATAATTTATTATGGTGTGTATATGCCCAACATACAAAGCAGAGACTTAACAGTCAGACACATTAGTCTGGGGGATGGGATATTAAAGTTAAGACAGATATTGCACAAAGCATATATATATATATATATATATATGTGCGGAAATCCACCAGGACAATGTAAATGCACTGCTGGATTATTTGAAAATGTTCAGCAAAAAAATTTAATATTTTGATATAAGTTTAAGGCAATTTTATACCAAATCAATCAATGTTATATAACATTTTGAGGACAATTGAAATATAATGGTTGTAAAAATTTGTAGTGAAATTATTCATTTTCATATTTTTTCAGTGCACTTTAAACATTTAATGTTTATTTCATTTTGAAGTGGTAAAAGTATATAGATGCGGTATTACATCAATTTCCTATTAGCATTCATAAGATTTAGTTCCCACTCAGAGCTATTATAGCAGATTTTCCAAAAATCTACAGTAGTACAGTCTGAGCAAAACTTAGCATTTAGCTTATTTTGAGCTTGCACTTAGCTTACTTTTAAATATATGTTGAACAGAGTGAAATCTGCCTAAATACATCTCTTATTAGCAACGAAAGATACCACAAAGATTAAGTTGAAATTATCGATGACATAGTTTCTCATTTTAACAATTTTCATGAAAAAGCAAAGCCTGCCAACTGTTAAGTTACAGTACAGTCTTCACATAACTTATCTTCGAAGATGGCTATTCTCAAAGGAAGAGAGGCAAAATCGTTTTTTTTTTTTTTTTTTATTACTTTTTTACTCAAATTTTATACCATATTTTCTCATACAAGTGCGTCTTCAATGCCATTTGGTATCATTCCTTGTTTGACAATAAAAAACTAATTTATGTTCGAAGAAGATAAAGTACTTGCAATGAACCAGAAAATGACAAATAAACCGGCCAGCAATATTTTACACACTGCAGCAGTCTTAAGTATCAGCAATTCAGTTTTAGACTGACATGGATGAATTATAATCGATCAACCAAAGTCATTATACTGTAATGAGGAACAATATATGTTATATATTTGTTTAAATCACTGACATAAAGACTTTAAGAACTTTATCTGTCTAGATTGATTTCTTAATACCTGGATCATAAGTGCTATAGCTTTTTGGAGATATTTTGGTGAAATAAAGGATGAATAGGATTAATGACAACAGTCAACTTGACTTCCCAAGCAGCAGGTGGCACAATTACAGGAGACTGTACAGAAGCAATCATTTTACATACAGGCTACTGTAATCTTCAAATTTCCAACATATGATTAAAAAAAATTCTAAACTCAATGTGCATAGATGTTTATTTATTTAAATTTTAATATTTGCATTAAAATTATATTTTTATTTCAATTTTGTATGAATATTGCATATTTACTAAAAAATTCTGATTTTTGAAAATAAAAAAAAGCACAAAAAAAAAAAAAACTGATGTGTTAATTGAATGATTTATCAGAAACATGAATATTTTTTTGCTGGCCTTATCAAGTGATATTTATGAAATTCTGTTAAAATAAAGCAAATATAATTTGATCATAAAAGTCTAGTCTTAAAATATCCATGTTGGATCATCGACCTCTATATCCAAAGGACCTCATTTGAATATGATTCTTTGTGCATAACACTTCACGATATTCTTACATATATATTACATAACAATGCATTTATAATTTATGTTATGTCAATTCATATGTAATATTGATATCTAATATAGAAAAATATGTAGTAATTTATAGAAACAATATATTAACAATATAAAAGTACTTTTTCAAATTAATCTGTGTTCTTGATTTTTATAAATTGCTAAATTGTAATGAAAAAAGATTTCAATGTTGCAAATTGTGGCTGCACATTATAATGATCGGTAAACAATTTTGTTGTAGAGATGGATCTACCAAGACAAAACAAGCTACCTTGCGGTCGAAAGA